GCCTTCTACTTTTTTCTTTTAAATAATGCTTTGCTTTTCTGGGATCCCTTTCCATTACATATAAAGTTAGTAAATTAGTCTTTCCATCTCTTTAAAGAATGATGTTGGAATCTGGATTGGAATTGCATGTTATCTCTAGATTGCTTTGGGTAGTGTTGAAATTGTCACAATGTTAAGTCTTCCTATCCATGAGCAGGGTATATTCCTCCATTTCTGCAGTTTTTTTTGGTTTCTTATAGTTATGTGTTTTAGTTTTTTCGTATATAGGTCTTTTATTTCTCTGGTTAGACTTATTCATAATCATTTCATCTTTTGGGTGGCTATTGTAAATGGTATTGTTTTCCTGATATCCTAATAAAGAGTTCTCTTTATTAGTGTAAAGGAATCCAGCTGATTTTTGTTTGTTGATCTAAGATGTATATAGTAACAGAAAGGTCATCCTGACTAGTTCTCCAGGTAAGAGAATATCTGAGATAAAAATGATTCCAATCTTCTCTTATTGGGGCTAAATTCGAAGAGTAGGTACTTGCTTACATTTACTTACTCCATGGCCAATCTGACCAGAAATTCCCAAGAAAATTTGAGATCTGGGTCTGTCTTTCCCATAACATATTCCATTATGTGTTAACGAGTGTTAGAAGCACATACTCTCAGAGGACATCTGGTCCAAGCAACTGAGTTGCTATATTACTCTGTGGCCCGTTGCTATTAAGTGCTGTTGAGTTGGTGCTGACTCATAGCGACCCTGTGTAGGGTTTGTGATCTGGTGTATTATCCTGCTGCACCACACCAAGACCTGGAAGGTTATTAATAATCTCTCATAAGCATCTTTTTAAATGTAAATGGTTTGTTGACATGATTTTCTGTGGGCAAACACCTCATTTTAAAACTGTAAACATGCACAAAAATAGGATCCAATATGCACATTTCTGCTCAGCATCCCATTTAACCTAAATAAGGAATAAGAAAAGCAGTGTGTGTATTATGCCATTTGGTTGTGTCTTGTTTATTGTGGATTATCAATGTTTCTGGAGTCCTGGTGTGGTGCTGATAAGCACTGAACTGCTAACCACAATGTTGGTGGTTCAAACCCACCAAAGACTCCTTGGAAACTCTACATAGGGTTGCTGTGAGTCAGAACTGACTCAACAGCACTCTAAAACACATCATGTTTCTAGTGTTTTCTGAATGCTTTATCCAATCTGTCAGTATTGTTCTTCAGCATGCTGGAATGCAGTGACTGGATGATGTTCTTGCAATTCATTCTACAGAGAAAAGCAGACAGTGACTGTGGCCTCACAGAGTGGTTAAGTTACCAGTGTTCCAAGGATTCAATACTAAACCTCAGAAACTGGAGCAGCCATCCTTTTGTTAGCGGACTCCAGGGACCTCAGGGCAGGGAACAGGAGATACTCATCTTCACCTAATTTTATTGGCTCTCTGCCCCATGTTGTGCTGCTGCCAGAGTCACAGTATTTTAAACCCCAGCCTTTTCTCCAGACAGTTGACAGTTTTGTGAATCAGGGTAAACAGTTTGATTCCCAGAGGGGACTGTCTACTCTAGATAAACAAATTATTACTCAGGCTAAGTGTATAGGCCTTTTTCCCATTTCCTTGGAGCCTACAGTAGTCACACGCAAATCAAGTGCCAATCTCACAATTTCGTACATTTTTCTACTTCAGTTGTACCTCTGTGGTAGCAGTTATCTGTTTTAAAATTATTGTTAATTGGGTGAAGGTTTACAGAGCAGGTCAGTTGTCCACCCAACAATTCATACACATTTTGTTTCAGCTCATGGATGGAAATCCCCACAATTTAACATTAACATAGCCTGTCCCACTTTGTTTTTCCTGTTTACATTCTTCCTTCTTCACTAACCTTCCTGAGTTTCATCCTTGGGTAAACACTACCCTTTTACTCTCAAATAATTGACTATTTTAAGGTATAAAATAGGTATGTACCTTCTTAGTGTTACTGTTCCCCTTATGTTAAGTACCTTATAGTTGGTTCTGACTCATAGCAACTCTGTGTAGCATTTTCAAAAAGCATCTGGTGGGCTTGGATTACTGGTTTTGTGGTTAGCAGTCCTGTGCTTATCCTACAGTTTAATACAGTGCTACACCAGGACTCCTCATAGGGTCATCTATGGTTTGGCTAAAATTTGAGTCATTGGAATGAGTTCATGCCTGTGCATGAAGGGTGACTAAGGGCCAGAGTCTTAGAAGTTCCATCAGCCTGGTCCTTGTATGATTTTGAATTTTGCTCACTTTTTCTCCCACTCTCTCCAAGACCATCTAATGTTGTCCCTTTCAGAGCAGCTGTAGCAGTTATGTGCTTGTCTCTCCCACCAGACTGTAAGTCCCTAGACATCTTCTCTGGCACATTTCCCCAAAGTGGGTCAGTTTCCTGGGGGAGATGAGGGGCTGCAGGGAAAACTGAACAGACAAAGGGTTTGGGCTGGGCTTCGTCTCATGAATGTGGGAGGCACATTCCCACCAGATCATGGAGGGCCTTCCAATACCTTTGGGAAAGAGCCCCAGTGGCACAATTAAGATCTCAGCTTCTAACTAAAAGGTTGGTGGTTCAAACCCACCAGATGCTCTGTGGAAGAACCATGTGGCAATCTGCTTCCGTAAAGACTGCAGCTTTGGAAACCCAACATGGGCAGTTGTACTCTGTCTTACTGTAGGGTTAGTATATGAGTAGGAATTGACTCATGGCATTTAGTTTAGATTTTGGGTTATAAGCCTTACTTATCTAGTGCTGCTGAGACAAATGGTTGACTCTAACAAACAAGTCCATAGTCAGGGCCCCAGCACTAGGGAAGGCTTTCTCTCTCTGCTGGCTCTGGGGGTAGGTCCTTCTGCTTCCTTCCTGGTTCCTTGGAGATCTCCATATCTTACCAAATTTCTGCTCTGCTCAATTGTTTGATCTCTTTTGCAGGGAACATAAATGATGCACAATAAACTGCCCATATTTAAAGTACATAATTTAAGTTTTGACACATGTATATACCCATTCAACTGTTATGACAATCAAATGATAAAACTTCTATCATTCCCAAAAGTTACTTGTGTCCCTTCTTTGTAATCCACCTTCCTCACCCCTTTTCCTCTAGCCCTGGTCTGCTTCTTGGTATGGGCACAACATATCTTCCTCCTCTCTGGTTAACAGCACCGACCAGTTTTCCATTTCCCTGGCCACAGGATGGGCACATCACCCAAGCAGGTCCAATCAGATTCTACACACAATTTGGATCTGGAGAGGACAAACTGAAGGGCTGAAGTTTTCTTCCAGTGGGAGTGCCTATAAGGGCAGCAGGCCTTGCATTCCTGCTGGTTCTTTCCCTGCATTTCCTGTGGGTCTGGTTCTTCTTGCAGTTCTGTAAGCTGTGTAATGTCTTTCAACAAATCTCTTTTATTGCTTAGTGATGTCAGTGGCTGCCTGCAACCAGGGAGCCCTGATAAAATACAATTCCTTCTGCGAATGGCAGCACCGTATTCTAGCCTTCTAAGACTAGCCTAGAATTCCTTAAAGCCTGACTTCATCAGTATCCCTTCCACCCCACCAACAAATCTTGCCCAATCTGTTCTCTGCTCAACGTTCTGTCTACAAAAAGATCTTATTCACTCTGGCCCAATCTTTACTTCTCCAGTACCTAGTAAAGTGCTTGGCACAGAGTAGGAGCTCAATAAATGCTTGCAGAGTGAGTGAGTGTTGCCATCTTCACCCATTACCCCTGGAAACAAGAACAAAGATGGGTGAGTGGGTACATGTTAATGTGTGTCAGCAGGCAGGACTTTAGAGTCAGGTTCTTCTTACAATGCCCATAGGAAACACACAGGAGGACGGGAATCCAGTAGTTCTGTCTCCACATTTCATGCTGCCACTTCCACTGTATTTGTATTCTTTTGTCCTTTCCCTTTACTTGGGGTTGCCTTTCTTCCTTTGTCATATGTCATACCAAGTACCAGGCTGTAGACATTAGATACAGCTTCAAGTTGTAACCCCTTTCCAGGCAGCGGTGGTGGTGGAGGGCTGAGAAGGGCCCCCGTGGCCATGGCATTATCAGAGAGTTACAGGCAGGAGGCAGGATGAGCTGGGGCTCAGGGATGTGACTGAATCTTTCTGAATCTTGAGTAGAATCAGTAACTTTGCCTAAGTGGAAAGCAGTAAGCTGGGCTGGAGCGACTCTCCCTGTCAAACAAATAGTCCACAAATACTCAGAATCATACTTTATTTAACAATCTGAAAAATCTGGGTGCTTTGTTTTTCCCTTCAATCAAAATGAGTGATAAATCAAAGACAGAATTGTTAAACATCCTCTGAGTATGTGTGGTTATATATCTCTGTGTGCACAAATCTATGGGTGTTTCTGCTATTTATAGTCATTATAGCCCCAATTTAATTAATATAAAGTCTTACTATTCAAACAAATCTAAAAGCTGAATTAAATATCCCCAACTCTCATACTCTCTTCTCCCAAACCTGCCTCCCTCCCCCTTCTCATACAGCTGTCCTTTGGTTTCTGTTAATGCTCGGCCTTTAGAGAGCCCCAGCAGTGGTCTGGTCTATTAGGATCGTAGGAATGAAGGCTGGGTTGGATATCCCACTGACCTACATTATCTGGCTACCCTAAAACCCCAAAGGCCTGGTGGGGAAGATTCTCTGGGGAGATGTGTCTTGTGGGGGAGAGTCTTGGCCGTTTCCCTTCAGAGTTGTGCATTTTGACTTGTAGATACCTGGAAGACAAACATGATTGCATCAGATACTGGTCTGCCCTCCCACCAACCACTCAAGGGGGTAAAAACTTAATTTGCTTCTATCAAATTGTATTTCATGTAATGCTCCTAGCCTCTAATGTGTGAAGTGATGTGTAACTGCTTGTTGGGATTATTGTAGGGACATTGCAGATACTGTCCATTATATTATTCATCATCTCCTTTAGAGGATTCTTAGTCTCGCCACCCATCCTGTTCTGTGTATCTGATTCCCTTACCTCTTCTGGAGGTTCAGATTCTGGGATGCTGCTCTCTCCAGAGTCTTGAAGCTGAAGGTCTTGGTCCTGCAAACAGAAGAGTTTTGACATTGAGAGGTAGCTCAATTGCCTCATCTCTAAACTACAGAAGGGTTTTCTGTGCCTCACACTTTACAAGGATCACATACAGTACAAAGAGCAAGCACACATTGCTGTTTCACTAGAGTTTGAAGGCAACAAGGAAAGCTTTACTGTCATCCCTGTTTACAAATGAAGAAACCAAGGCTTGCTGGGACAGGAAACTAGATCTTTGGACTCCAGAGTCATTTCCATGATCAGATACCACTACCTACTGATGTAGCATTGTGGGATAAAGCACTGAACTGCAAGGTCGGTTTGAACCATGAGGTCAGTGGTTGCTCCTAGGAAAACCCTATACAGGGTCACTATGAGTTGGAACCTACTCAACAGCACTTAGTACAACAACAACTACTTTTAGGGAGTCCTGGTGTGGCGCTGTAGGATAAGCACTAGACTATAAGGTCAGTTTGAACTGCAAGGTGAGTGGGTTCAAACCCACCAGCTGCTCCTTGGAAATCTTATACAGGGTTGCTATGAGTCGGAGCTGACTCAACAGCACTTAACAGCCACTGCGTTCTCAAGAATGCACTACTGTTCTCACACTTAGGCGGGCAGGCAGGTCAGCCAGGAAAGTAGTATCATTGTTTCTCTGGGTTTCTAGGTTCTAAGATGGAAACCAAAGGTAAGGAAAGTCCCATCTATGAACTTTTATCTCAGGAGATAACTTTGGTACTTTAAGTTTTAAGTACCTAATTTTCCTTTTATAAATTGAGATACATACAATCCACATTCTTTGATAGTAGAACCTAGTTCTAACAAGGTGACAGATACTTAAAATTCTATAGTTTATATCCTTTATGGTAATTTTTCTTCTTCCTACTTTCCCTCTTCAGGCTTTTGAATTGTCTCAAAGGTAATAAGATCACCTTTTAAAACCTTAATCAAAAATTCATTTTCTCTTAGATGATTCAAATGCTAAACAAGTACAGTTTCTTCTCCCTAGTTAAATCTATATTTATCCACTTTTATATGTGAACATCCATAATTTCTGTTTCAGAGAAAATATGATTTATAATGCATCTGCAAGTGAAGTGAGCAAGTTTTGTAGAAGTAAGCTTTAGAGCATTGGCAGCACTGATGGGCGAGGGTCTAGAGTGCTGTAGTTGCTTAATTCTGCAGGATGACCAAAGCAATCCCACAGGAGAGGCTGGGAGTGGCAAGTATTACAGATACAAGGAGAAAGTCTGCGGGGATAGAAGGATGCATCCTGTGCCTCTCTTTCAACAAGGGCAGTGTTATTAGTATCTTGGCTCCCATAATCTCCCCTTCAATTTGAGTACTCCAAGAACTCAATTCGTTTTAATATTCACCAGAGCCAAACACAGGTCAATCGATTGCTGTTTTCATATTCAAATCATTAGAGTCCAATTTAAATTAATCTGATACTTTCCATACCTTTGAATTGGTCTTTTCAGTGCAGAAATTGCTGCTGAAGATCCTGCCTTTACTCTGTACTACGTCACTTTTCACATGTCCTAACTCTCTCAGACAATCAATCTCAGACTAGGAATCAGCTCCTGTTAGGGCCCTCAGTGCTTCATGCCATCCAGACTAAAGGTATAATAATATTAAAGCTGGGATTTTAGTACCTCAGGGGAGTCAGCAGAGGCAAGCTCGTTGTTTTCTTTCTTGTCTTCAATCTTCTTTGGTTCACTAGGCTCTGAAAAAACCTGTGGATCAAAGTGGAGAATGTAGGAGAAAGTCCAGAACTTTTACATCTGGATGTCACCCTGCCAGATAGTAGGAGGATCCCAAAATAGCCTGGTCAACCTTTGGTTAGGCATAGGCAGTAGTAAGGTGGGTTGAGTTGAGCGGTACTAGAAATTCCATGCTATTCTTCTACCCATCTACACAGCTCTCTCCCTGACCTCCTTCACTGCCCGGATATCACCTTCTTTGGCTACCCTCTTTAAAACTGCAATCCACTCCCTGTGTCCTGCCCTATTTAATTTTTCTTCACATCTCTTATCACCACTTATGTGTAATTTTACTTATATAGTTTTTTGTCCCACAAGGATGTGAAAGAAAGCAGGGATTTTTGTTTTGTTTTAGAAAAGTACCTGGTGCATAGTAGGGGCCCGATAAATATCTTGGTGCCATCTGGTCAGATGTCCCACCATAATCCTCTCTACTACACACCTAAAAGGTGATTATATATCCTTAGCTCTTAACATCAAGGAAGGAGAACTTTCCAAAATGTACACTTT